CAGGAGGAGTTGGGCTGCTCTTCCGCGAGCCCGGAGCTCTCCGCAGCGCTCGCCTGAACTTGCTTTTCCTTCCCGCAGCCCACGGAGACCGAACGCTGCATCGAGTCCCTGCTGGCCGTCTTCCAGCGGTACGCGGGACGCGAAGGGGACAACTGCACGCTCTCCAAGAGGGAGTTCCTGGCCTTCATGAACACCGAGCTGGCTGCCTTCACAAAGGTGAGCAAAGACACAGGCCAGGAGAGCCTCCCGTGGCTTCCACTTCAGCCCCCGGGGCAGGAATTAAAGCCTCTGACCCCCAAGCACCATGCGGTGGGCAAGGAGAAGAAGAGCAGGGCCTGACAAGAGTTGGCCTGACCGAATTCTGCCTCCTCCTGCCCATCCCTCTCCGCTGGTGATGCGCTGGGCAGCTGCAGTTCCGTACCTGGGGAGGGGGTGCTCAGCGAGGGGCACCTCTGTCTGGAGGCAGAGAGCAATTCCCATCTCTTTGGTCTTTTGCAGAATCAGAAGGACCCCGGTGTGGTGGACAGGATGATGAAGAAACTGGATTTGAATAGCGACGGGCAGCTGGACTTCCAGGAGTTCCTGAACCTCATCGGGGGCATCGCGGTGGCCTGCCACGATACTCTGATTAAGACCACTCCCCACTAGGCCCTGGCTGCTGCGTCTCCCCCACCACTGTGAACATTCCTCCAACAAGACCGATGCAAAGCTGGAAGCAGCGCCCTTCAAACAGGGACATCCCCGTTCCTCATTTTTACGTCTAAAATAAAAGGTTTAAATTCCAAGCGTAAGGCATGGTTTTATTTCAGCAGCACGAGCGAGGAGAAAGCACTCGGAAAGCAGCCCAGGCCAGAGGGAGCAGGATCTCTAGGTCCTACCCTCTGCTTCACCCCTGACGCGAGAACATGCGTGTTCTCATCCTTGTCCCTGCTGGAAACTCCGATCCGTCTGGCTTTGGAGATCCTCCAGCCCGATACGTACCATGGGCGAAGGTACAGTAATACTAAAGGGTACAACTACACAAGGTAAGTGCAAAGACAGGAGCATCACCAGTAAGAATAATCTGAGCACTGGCAACAGCAATTACACACTTGTAATTAGCAGAAGCAGCCCCTGCTGGCGTGATTAATTATTTCAGGACTGGAGCCTCCATTTTCTGGAAACATCAAAACCCTCCTGGTAGCTCAAGAGTGCAAGAGAAGGAGGGCGGGGGGGGAAGGTGAAGAGAGAAAATTCGATCTGATCTCGCTTCTACCTCAGCCAAGACCAACTGAGCTACAGAACAGGAAGATCAAGATGGTCGATTTACTTTATTCATGAGAGAAGCGGATTATTCTGAGAAACGTTGCCAGGACAACAAAACAAAACGTCAACACCAGCGCTGAACGCTGAGCTGCTCAACTGCCACTTCCGAGGGGAGTAGAGCTTCCCCTGAGCAGGGACAGGCTCCGCGCCGGCCCCGCTTCCAGGCAGCAGCAGGATCTTCTTGGAGCAATTCTTCCAGGAGCCCAACGCTGAAGGACATAAGAGGCAGCTGCTGCCTCTCAAGGCATGTCTACAGAGCGCACTGCGTGGTCACCAGGAGCCACCCTTTACCCTCTGGAAGAGAGACAACGGTACGTAGAAACCTCATCAGCTGGATGTGGGAACAGAAGCGCAAGTTGGAAGCAGCCAAGAGTCTCACGGCAGCACTCCTGGGTGGGGAAGGGGAGGTAAGACAGCACAGGCACGGCTACGGTGAAGAAACTAGACTAAAAGCTGGAATGGTGGGAGGTGAAGTTTCCACAGCGTGCTGTGAAACGGGACCGTTTCCCTCAGATCTCGCACCTCCCCAGGACAGGCATGCCCTAGCGGAACTGGAGCGGGCTGATCCGCAGCCCGATGACGTCTTTGCCGATCTCCGTCACCTGAGGAATAAAAGGGAGATGATTAATGGTTAAAAGCAACTCAACAGCCCAACGCCGTACGCAGCGTTGGGAGCCCAGACCTCAAGAACGCTCTCAAGAACGCTCGTTGCCCATCACGGCAGCATTTAAACCACACGGAATTTCACAATTCCCAAACTGTTCCACCTCACGCCCCAAGTCCTCCAACGTTCAACTTGACCCGAAACCTAGGCCAAGCTAGGGGTAAGCATGGGAGAAGGTGCTGGAGGGGATTCTCAAGGGAAACATGATGGGTCAGGAGTGGGTGGTAAGGGACGTTGAGACTCCCTCACCGTGGTGACACGGCAGATCTGCCCATGGAACTCTGAGCAGTAGCAAGCTCCACTGAGAGGACACTTCTCCACGGGTTTGCCACGATAGATGGGTCGGTAAGAGGCGGCACAGATGTCAAAGGGGTTGTGCATGTCATAGTTGAGCTGGTAGGTGTCAGTGGGATTCTTCTCACACGCTGACAGGATCTTACGAGTCTGCAAAAAGCAACCACATTGACCAGAGGGGCAGCGAGAAGCATTTCACACAGGGTCTGCCACAGCAGATCTTCCTGCCCATGCACCTCACAGACGTACCTGCTGGGCCACCTCAGGCTTCGGACCCAGCTCCAGTAGCCGACGGGCAAAAGTAGCAGCTGTCTTGAAGTTTTTGAGTTTGAAGAAGAGGTTGAGAGCCGTACGCAGCACCAGGATCATGTGGACGGGCTGCAGGTTGGAGTGGGTGAAATAGGCAGCCATCTGCAGCAGCCAGAAAGGGAAAGCAGGGACACAGTCACTACCGACCACGTGAATAACCCGGTGCCCTGAAAATTCTATGATTCTATAAAACACTGCAAGAAATCCTTCCCAAGTACTCCCTGCCACGTCTGCTTTAAAGGAGGAAACGGCAGAATTCAGGATTCTCGGTGTCTTTTTAAACCCAAAGCCTGCTTCTTAAAGGGGGCCTACAGCAAAGCTGGGGAGGGACTTTTTACAAGGGTGTGGAGTGATAGGACACGGGGCAATGGATTTAAACTGGAAGAGGGGAGATTTCGATGGGATCTAAGGAAGAAATTCTTCCCTCTGAGGGTGGTGAGGCACTGGCACAGGTTGCCCAGAGAAGCTGTGGCTGCCCCATCCCTGGAAGTGTTCCAGGCCAGGTTGGATGAGGCTTTGGGCAACCTGGTGTAGTGGAGGGTGTCCCTGCCCATGGCAGGGGGGTTGGAACTGGATGGTCTTTAAGGTCCCTTCCAACCCAAACCATTCAGTGATTCTGTGATTCTCCCTCATCTCCCTCACAGCAAAGAAATTCACCGTTTCTGTACCTCGCAAATTCGCTTCTGCTGCTCCAGGGTCTCTTTGGGCAGCTTCTTCCGCTCGATCTCCATCGAGAGTCCTACAATATACTCCCGGCAAATGGCTATCAGCTGCTGGGCCTTTCAGAGAGGGAGACAGAGTCAGGCATCTGGTCTCCTGCCCCACGGTCACGCAGACAACGGACAGAAGAGTCTCACCTCAGCAATCTCCTGCTTGTTGTCCACCACCAGCAAGGGCACGCTGAGCAAGATGGAGCGGAACTTCTCCACGGCCTCCTCAAACTTGCCGGCAGTCGTGAGCTGGTAGCACAGCTGCAGGCGCTGGATCAGGTCGTTGAGTTTCAGTCCAACGGCAGGGAGGGCGTTTTTCAAGCCAGCTTCTTTCCTGGGGGCATCAAAGAGGGGGTTGGGGGTACAAACGGGACCACCGCGGAGGCCAGCAAGAACACACACGTCGTCAGCTCGACTGCAACTTGCCAGAAAGGTTTTGACCTAGGGCCACGCTGTTTTTCTTGGCACAAAAGACATCTATGCTTCCCTAATTCTGCCACCCACAATGCCCAGCTCTCCCTGCATTAGCACACGCTGGGAAGTCTGGTTCATTTTTCTACAGTGGCTTCCAGCCACCACTGCAACAAGCACACCTGTGGTTCTCTAGATGCCTCAGACCAGCTCTGTCAGAGGCAGAGCATTAGTGCTGTAAAACACAGCATCCCGACTGCCTCACCCTGGTTCTAGTCTCTAAAAAAAAAAAACAAAAATGAAAGCAGCTCTTTAACTTCGTTACATCTAACAGCAGGCAGCAGAAAAATCCCACAAAAGACAGAACTCTCCCTATTTATATCCAGCAAACAGGAGGGTTCCTCCCTTCACAACAGAGGGAGAAGGTATTTCTGGCTGCAGCTGTCAGTGAGTCTGGGAGGTACCTGGCCCAAGGAACGGAGCACCGAAACGCTCACCAGTTGCGATGTGGGTAGCCATACATCGCAGGGAGACACGGCAGGGCCTGGTAGGTCGTACGGCCGCGGGCGTAGGTCTGCAGGAACAGCTGCTTGTAGGGTCCAAAGTTTGTTACTCCGACCTGGTCATGGAGGAGCTGAAAAAGACACGTTGATGTGCTGAGTAGAAGTTCTCCAGGGCTGTACAAAGGCCACACAGACATCACTCAGGCTCACGGCACCTCTTACATTGTACCCAGAGAAAACAACGCACTAAACGATTCACAAAATGAAGCTTCAGGCTGAAGCAGAGATAAAAATACGTGAGGACAAGGGTGCTTTTTCCACCCCCTAGAAACTTCAGGAGAAACTTACTCTCATTGCTGTCTCAAAGGAGCCTGCCAGAATGTGGTCAACAGGAAGCTGAGAATTGTTACACCACACCTACGAGAACGGAAGGGAAACATATGCAAGAGGAATTGTGTATGTGCACACATGTTTCTTACCTACTCTCATCACCCCTAACTCCCCTTAGCAAGTCCCTACGCTGTGCTCACAGATGAGCATTAACAAGGACTGAACCCAAAAAAAGAAGCATCAAAGTAGAAAGTTTCTGAGAAAGACAACCAAAGACTTGTGCCCTTACCTGAGCTGGGCTGGTGCCCTTAGTAGGTGGCACAAAGAATCCATCCTCTGCTGCTCCTGCTGCACCAGCAGGAACATCCTGGGAGAACACACAGAGGAGTGTTTAGAGTAGAAGGTTCCAGCACTCAGATGAAATCGGAGCTGGCCACAGCTGTGGTGACCAAGTCTCCAAAGAAGCCCAGAGCACATTTCCCACCACCACCACCTGTCATTGCCTCCCCAAGTAACTACAACTGGGCTACTTAAGAAGCCTCCCAGAAGCCTCCTACCAGTTCAGGGGGAAGATCCAAATCTTCTTCGACTTCCCATCCACCTCCTTCTTCCTGTCCTTTACCTAGACCTTCCTCTCCAAAGCCCTCTCCAGCATCCACAAAGCCATCTGCATGGAGGAGGTGAGGGGAGATAGTCAGAGCTCTTACACAGGCACACGCTTACACTTCTGCAAGGAAAACTCTTGGGTTCACCCACCTTCATCCAGCTGCAGCTCTGCATCTTCTCCCCAGCCTTCGGTGCCAACAGTGTCGATGTCGATATCAGCAGCCAAGGCACCTCCTTTGCCTACAAAAAGGGCAGGATCCTTCCTTTACTCATCTCTCAGTGGGTCAGGTGTTAAGAATTCTATTAGGCCAGCACCCTCCCCCCCAGTTAGGCCAAAGATTTTTGAGACATTTGCCAAAGATGGCATAAATGCCAAGCTGGATTCCAACCTTTGCTGTTAACACACAAAAAACGTGAGGAGAAGAGCAACAGTTCAGGAGCCACAGAAACAAATATCTCCATTCCGTGTATCCCAGCTCAATGCAACTCTCCAGGTACAAAGCAGCACCTTTGCTGGCAATTGTTCCTTCGAAGAATCCCTTGGAGACAGTCAGCAATGGCCAGTTGGTATCCAGAGGCATGACAGGAGCAGGAGGCTGCAGCAGTTTTGCATTGTGATCAATGTCTGGAATCTGAGCAGAGAGGAGGAGAAAACACTTAGATGCCATGTAAGGGACATCTCATCCTTCCACCTGTCTGTCTCCAAGGTGACCTTATAGCGGTCTTCCAGTACCTCAAGGGGGCCTACAAGAAAGATGGGGAGAGGCTGTTCAGGAGGGCCAGTTGTGATAGGACAAGGGGTAATGGTTTTAAAATAGAGGGAGGTAGATTCAGGTTGGATATTAGAAAAAAATTTTTTACCATGAGAGTTGTAGAACACTGGAACAGGTTGCCCAGAGAGGTGGTGGATGCTCCATCCCTGGAGACGTTCAAGGCCAGGTTGGACGAGGCCCTGAGCAACCTGATCTAGTTGGAGATAGCCCTGTTCCTTGCAGGGGGGTTGGACTAGATGACCTTTGAAGGTCCTTTCCAGCCCTAACCATTCTATGATTCTATGATCTATGATTCTAAGGGGCACAGTCTCAAGCAGCGACTGGAATGGAGATGGTTCCTCCCTCCCCAAAAGGAGCTGCCTAGCCAGTCACACAAACACCAGATCCCACTGTCATCTTCCCAAACTCCAGAGCTCGTGTAATGAAGTAAGAAGCTCTAGTCCGTTTACTGACCGTTTCCTTTTCAGGATCAAACGTTTCCTTCAGGCTTTCAGCTTCCTCATCCAGACCATGAGTGGCAGCCGTGAGATAGGCCAGGGACTCTGAAAAGAGACACAACTCACGTGAGCACGTGTTCTTCATCGCCTAGAGAAAGAAAACTTCTCATACACACGGCCACACTGTCACAAAGGAAGGGTTATCGGCGTACCAAGGTGCAGAACCACCCCTTTAGGGGTGCCACTGGGTTCAAGACTAGAATGTGCAGACAACTGACCACTGGAATACGCTCCAGAGCTGATTCAGGTCTCCTAGATGGCATCCCAGCTCTCGGGTTATCTTCTGCTCATCTGATTCAGTTTCTCGGGTAACAGATTACACTGATCTGCCTCCAAGAATTACTGTTCACCCCAACTTCTCCAGCTTCTCCCCAGCCCACAGGGACATGTGTTAGTCTGATATTACTCACTTTGCCCACAGTTCTTCAGGATCCTCACTCTCTCTGCCACATCTCCTAGATACAAGGCATTCTGGTAGTGGCCACTCATATCTTTACGGATCTCAGCTAAACCAGAAGAAAAAAAAGTCACGATAGCTTTGCTGCTCTTGGCCTCCACTGTGACGCCGCTCATTCCCTCTGGGAATGACACTCAGATCCTCTTATCTTATTCTTCTTTGCCACCACCCTGGTACTCACCTATCTTCATCATCTTCCGAAGCTTCTCCAGATTGCCGGTGATGAGATAGAGGAAGGAGAGCCTATCGAAGTTCTTGGTGCGCTGGTAGCACATCTCCACAATCTGGTGATTTCCCTGCAGCAACGCCACTTCTCCCAGTTTCTCCCAACAATTCTTGTCATCCAGAGCTTTGGCTGCTTCCAGAGCAATCTAACAAGGGAATTGACACAGTTACAAAGCAGTTTTCTCTCCAGGCTTCTGTTGATAACGCCCGTGATGGAAAGCACGGGATGACAAGGATCACTGCAGTAAATCACGCTCCCAGCTGAAGGCCTGCACCTCAGTAAGGGTGCTATCATCCTCAACTCCATCACTCTGCACTAATACTTCCTCTTCCCAATACTCCTCCTCTTTGCAGGCCTGCAAGAGATGCCCCAAAGGACAAGCCTTTCTCACAGCACCACCTGCCACCTCACCTCGATGTTGCCACACTCCAGTGCCAGGCTGAAACGGGTCTTCTCATCCTTGACAAAGTGCAGGGCCACCTCTGGGTAGCCCTTTTTCTGCAGGTAGGCAATGATGGACTGGCCCACAAGCTTGGCATTCCTCACCATGTGCAGCACCTGCAAAGGAAAAGGCCCAGGTATCCAAGCTGCCAACAACTTTCCTTTACCCTTAGGTATAGGTCAAGGAAAAGTCCAGGGTTTCTCACGTCTCCTCACCTCATCATACTTTCTGTTGATCAATGCCAGCTTGAATTTGAACTCTGTGGGATCAATGGTGAGGACCCTGGGGCGGCACTCTCTGTCCAGGCAGTACACGTTGTTTCCCTTCACGCGGGTAACGTAGATGGGCAGGTCCAGGGTGCGGATAATTCCGTGATCCCTACGCCAACACACAGCACACGCGTGACACGCGTGCCAACACATCCGAATTCCCTACCTCAAAGTAGGATCCACACTCCACGTTATTTCAGCCTGCGTTACGAAAGCAAGCCCCAGTCAGTGAACAGTGCAGCCAACCAGCCCAGTGATGAAATACCAGTGCCCAGGGTAAACAACCCAACGTTTTCAGCCCTGGCTGTCTTTGGGAACGTCCAATGTCGTAATCAAAGTGCCGTTTCACAAACACCAGCTTTGGTGTCTGCCAAAAAAAGTCTGCACAAGGTCTGCCAGTTGAAGGACTCGGCACACTCACCCCGTGGTGACGGCGTATTTGATGTGATTGCTGGTGGTGTAGATGAAAACGCCGCTTTCATCCCAGGCACCGCTCTTGACGCGGATGTTTTCATGAATGTTACACAGTGACTCCAGCTTTCTGTTGCAGATCATGATGGCTGGAGAGGGAAGCCAAGAGAAGCAATGCTAGGGATCCCTCTACTGTTAAACATCTGCCTCTGAATTATGGCTTCTCTCTTGCACGGTCCCAGCAACAGAACTACATTTACAGTGTGTCAGACACCAAGGAGACGATGGCAACCACGACTAAATTGTCACCATCTGTCTTTGTTTTACGGAAGAGATGAGCTGGATTGCTTTGAGCACAAACAGCTCTCTGTTTTTCAAGCTTTATGAAAGGTTTTGCTGAGGAGACAAAGTGGCAGGGCCCACACTGTGAATGTCTTCTGCTGCACCTTCACTGCTAGCAGGGACTCTGCTCCCAACCAAGGAAGGAGTGAGCATGCACTGGGATCCAGGTGAAGCACTGCACCCCCCAGCCGCTTACCATGCTTAGCCAGCAGAGCCACGTGGGACATGTCAGCTGACCAGATGACATATTTCACCTTGGAGATCTTCACCAAGGCTAGAGTTCTGGGAAAGGACAGCACAGACATCAGAGAGTTGAGCAACACCCCTCCACAGCAAGCTCTGTGTGATAACTACCAGCACCCAACAGCCCGAACTCAACCTGCAGATGCCCTGAAACCCCTTTTTGCTGTTCTGGAGCTTTAAAATCATGAGGCAGAACTGGTGGCTCTGCAGCCCAGTACAGCAAAACAAACCTCTCTCCACACCAGTGCAATTACAAATAAATTTGAGTGGTAATTGATTTCAAAACCTCGACTTCTGAGGGGGTTTTTGGGACAGATTTAACAGAACAAGGGAAATAAGGTAATTCCAAGCAGCATTTGCCTTCTTTGATTTACTTGTAACTTTCCCAACACCATCAGAAAGACAAAGGCATACAAATAAGAAAACGAGGTGAGTTCTGGGACACAAGCAATCCACATACACCACACCTATCTGCAGATAATCCAGAACCTTCTCAAGCCTACAAAGATGGCCAAAAGCACCAACTCCTTGCCTGTTTCTTTGTGACTAGCAACACACAGCACAAACACGCTGCCAAAAGAGCATTTCCAACAGATATAAAACCTATGGGACGAGACATCAGGCAGGCTTAGTTTGATGGAGTTTGGGTTTTTTTGATTTCTCTCCACTTTTATAGCACCCGATTCTGCAGTCACAGGATTTACAAGGGCATGGCACACATCTCCCTGTGATCACTGGCACGATGCCTGCAGCACGAATTGCACCTTGGCTGTGTTTACACTCTGCTCTTCCTCGCAGTTGTCAGCCGTGGCTTGGATCAGTCCGACGCAGCCGGCAGCTGATGCTAAATTCCAGAGTGCATTAATAGCTGTGACTTGTCCCCAGGGGCACACGCCAGCAGGATTATAATATTAAAACTTCTCCCAGCAGACTGGATCTTACCGCTTCTGCTGCACGTCAAAGAGGGTGATGGAGTCTGCATCCCTCAGTAACAGGTTCCCGGTGCCAGCGTAGAAAATCTCATCGCAGTTCGGCACCTGCACCTTCTTCGTGATCTCGTTCTTCAGGTTTTTGATGAGGATCTGCCGTTTGATGGGAGGAAATAAACAGCACAGGAGAGTTTGTTAGATTCTACAAAGAAATTCAGGATTATTTTAACTCAGAATTTGGGTATAGCTGAACCTCGGCAACAAGAGGCCAAAATAAGAGCTGTGGCCTTTCTCGAAGCAGGATTTTATCCTGCTGGAAAACCCTACTGCAAATTTCCCAGAGTGCAGACACGGTGCATCCTTTCTTTACAGCCCCACAGCTGTCACTACTAGCTGGCTGATACAGTTTGCAAGCCCTCTCTACAACAAACATACGAACAAAGTAAACAGGAGGGAAAAGAGAGAGAACACAGTGCAGACAGAAAAAGGAAATGAGGAAGTTGAGAGGGGAAAATGGCAAGTGGAGAAGGGGAAGGCAGGGAGGAGTGACAGAATAGGCATGAAATAAACTTGAAAACGACACTCTGAATTCAAAAAGGAAAGAAAAAAAAATAGAAACCCCAATTTCCTGCATGGGGCAAGGAGCAAGGCTTTTCTTGCCCTTTGCATCAAGTAAGCTCAAGCAGGGAAAACTTCCCATGACCATCTTTCCCCCTTCCTTCTCCTGTTGCACTCCACGAGCGAGAACAAAGGGCTTTATAAAAACCCAGCCTGTGTTTTCACCATTTCCCCACTACTCCCATGCTATGAAAGTGACCTGGGTGGCTTCACTGTCCTGTTCTGGGCAGCTTCCATTCCCCAACTCCCCTGCTGCCGCCGGCTTCCAGCAGCCCAGTTCAGATTTACTGTCAAACAAGTGACACGACATTTCAACTCATCCCATCTCCACCGCACTAAGGCTCGGCGGGTACGTCTCCAGCCCGCTCTACTGGCAACGCTGTGCCAGTCTGCTTGGCTCTGCGATCCTTCGGTTAACCCCATCTCCCCGCGTGCTTCCAACGGGACGACGTTAACGCCGGCCCCACGGAGCACGCCGGCCCCACGGAGCCTGCCCCCTTACCGAATGCATGCGATCCAGGACTGCAAAGCGGTTCCGAGCCACCCACACAGCTGTCAGCCCGGAGGAGCGTTTCCCTTCGGGGGCTGGGGAGAGCAAAACGCAGGCAGTGAGTAAAACCTCTGGCAGGCTCACGTTAGTCACTCGTGTTCGATCCCATCTTGGCTGTTGGAGCTGCTTCCTACAAATTCATGTTTAACCCGAGGCTATTCACAAGACTCATTTCCTCCCCCCTGCCATGTCCTT